GGAGTCTAATTAAACACAGTCACGTACAAATACTGGGTAGTTCCTTAGGCAGGTCAGCCACACCCACCGCTCTTAAAATATGTCACAGGTTTCTGTTTACGCTGCTACCCACCCGGTCCTGTTCTTCTGACCCCTAACATGCGGCGTTCCACACTTTGTTGCGCAGCATGTAGTTTTTGGATGATCCCTATATTCAGAGTTCAAACTGTAGCATCCATAATCAAGCACAGTCATTAGACAAAGGCTGGATATTCTTTCCACAAATATGAGGGCAATTTCCCTTTCCGAATATTATGCCGTGTTTACGCTATTATGTGTTTCGCAGTAAACGCAAGATGTTCCACATAACTCTGACGTGCTTATCCATGACGCATTCATGCACCAATACAAAAAACAGACCACTGTACAGCGAGATATGCAACCGAAATACGACAGCGGCATAAACATCAACCTCTGATTCCTTATTCAATCATAGTTACCAACGTCAACAATTGCTCACACTCGTCAGTACTTTAGCTGACAGATACGCAATCATAAATAAGACATTTCAAACCGGGCTGACAATATGAGGCAGACGTTTAAACCATCAGTGATGTACGGATTAAAATGAACGGTTGGATGCATGATGCAAGTTGATTGACTCATTGTTCTGTTATACTGCTTCATTCATACTGAAGTAAATCCTCACAATGACGTTAAAAGAATGTGGTTGAAACAAGGGATGTGTGTTTCTTCAGCAGCGTGAGCATTTTACATCTCCGAATAGCGCTACAGTTTTCTCTATAAGCTAATAAAAATGCTTCATCAGTCAACCACCAGTGATGTAACTGACTACAACCATACGTGAGCAATGGAATTTTCGATGTTTGTCATACTGTAAGACACAGTACACTACTGTGTGCTTGCTGGGCAAGCGATGATCGATATTTGATAAAAAAAATTATTTTTGGCCAGATGCGCCGACGCTAGAGCACAGAGGAACGAGAACGGTGCAAGTGAAAATTCTCAGCTTCTCAAAAGCTTAAAGACAGTAAAATTGCTAACATACCCATCAGAATGAAAAAACGATTTTTCACTCGTGATAAACCACCGAAGTTACTGCGGCCTTGATTCGTTCGTGTCTTATGAACCTTGTTCATGCTAAAACTGGTTGGCGACAACTGCTGTTCTTTAAACAGGGAGGACATTGTTCAAAAGACCATTAGCATGGCTGCTCGGGTCGGGTAAATCATCAAACATACTTTTCCAGGTGTAGACAACATAGCAACTTCTTCGCGAGTATGGACTATAGTGCTCCAGCTGTTCCGCAATACAATAATAACAACCATATTTAAAAAAAAGTATCCGAGCGAACCGAAAATCGAAAGCAGATTATCATACTCGCTTTCAGTCTCGGTAAATCAATCAATCTTGAGTCGTCAGTCAATCCTGAGAGTAGAGTGTCACTTAGATCTCTCTTTTCCCATTCATTTTTCAACGTTGATCTGAATTACGTAATAAAACTTCTCGATTCAAGAAAATACCACGCCTGTCGATAGATTTGCGTATTGTATTTGTGTATTTTGATCATGTCGTTGGTAGTCAAACGACAAATCGGTAAAAACAAGTAAATTTTGATATGCGTTCAGTTATATTAACTGGATTGGAATGAATCGGTAAGTTGGATATTCACATATGTTATTCTATTTTTAACTGTTTAAACTGTTACATTTTAAAGGATGAAAAACAAAATCTACGAGAGACCCTAACCACAGAAGAAGTTCATTAACAATGGTACCAGGCTTCTGAAAAGTTTTAAACAAATTTATGGTTTAGGCTAGTTTAAGTTAAAGCTTATTAAATCGTTATAGCACTCAGTGATGAACGGTACTGCTCAGTCGTAGAGCATACAACTCAGAACCGAAAGATTGCAGGTTCGAGCGCCTGATGGATCATTCGTATTTCTTCCTTGCGAGGGTCATAAATGAGAATCACTCCGTGAAAAGGAAACAGGAGACTAAACAATATACTAACCACATAGCTGCTGTCGACTTTGCCTTTAAAGTAACACGCTCTGGTTTACGTAGTGTTAACAATTATCAGGATCGGGAACGCACAATTAGAGTAATGAAAAGAAGCGCTTTAGAAATGACTCCATGATGAAAGTCTAAGACAGACATTCCAATGGTTAAAAAACTGTTTTTTCCTTTGAACAAAGACAGAGCCCTTCACTCATTATTTAACAGTTTTATAAGGACACTAGGAGTACATGCCCAAGGAAGAGACGCGCATTCACAATAAGCCTGCATTTCGAAGTTCTGAATCACCTATGGGAGAGGTGAAGTTCCTCCTTGTGAGGAACTTACATTGGTACCGCGTATGGAGATTGCTTTGCGGTTGGGTCAAAAAGTATTTCTGCGTTTCAAACAGCGTTGATAAAAACGGAAAGGGCATATTACACATATTAAAAATCCTAAGGTTGAGTATTCTACTCGTTTGTTGGTACTCTAACAGAAAAACAGCACAAAAACAGATTATTGTCGAGATTTCTCCAAGTATCGTACAGCCCCACTGCTAACGGGGTCGACTGTGCAAGAAGCGGCTAAATTATACTTGTGAATCTGCAGCTAGTAGCTGCATCTGGCATCATTTTATTCATCACAGTAATTTCTTGCAACTCCACCGTTGCCGGTCGCAAACTTCAATCAAAAAAGAAGAGGGCTGGAGACACTGGCGAGGTTTCGTGCATTTCACATTATTGCATAACGGAATTTAGTACCTGTTCTATCGTGCCAGGATAACAAAGGGCCGTGCAGCCTGTTGGAGAACTGAGACAGGCTGCGAAATGCGAGCGATCAGAACTTGCACATCGCCCTCAGGGAACATCAGGTCACACGAGCACAACCACGGCTTCCGAAGATCGACTAAACGACGACGAAGAAACAAATCAGCAACGGAAATCGCTACCAATTATCAACGGAAGAGGCAGACAACATCAGAGCACGTTAAAAAAGGCTTCATGGGAATCGCACCACAAGTGGGAGCTTACAGTTGGCAACCGCAATATAGCCTCTTTGAGAGGGAAAGAGCAGGAGCTAACTGATGAGGCCACAAGGAACCAACTCGACACAGTTGGGCTCTCGTTATCGGAACGCCAAGGGTCTGGAATTTTGAACCTCTGCGGATAGAAGCTATTCTAATTAGATATGGACATCAAGAAGCATGTTCAGGTCGGTGGTGGTGTCCTAAAAGAACATAA